CAGTTTAATCAAGAGTCTAGTTTGTTTACGTCGTAATTTATGTTGAGATATGCGATCGAAATAATATTTAATTGTTGTTTTTATGTTTTACAAAGTAATAATTGTTTCATTTGTCTTATCTTTATTTAAAAAAAATTGGTTTTTGATGTAGTAATGTGTTGAAAGTGACGTCTGCTAAAACGCAACGTTCTTGAAACAAGTAATATCTTTAAAAAAGTATATGTATGAGAAACGAAACACAATTTCCAAACAAATAGTGTTTTTCTGGGCTACCCAAACTGTTATTTCTAGAAGATGCAGTTTTCTGCTGTACTACTGACCGTTTGAGCGAAGGAACAAATCATGGGATAATGCTGGGTTTTGGTTAGCCTGAGGGATCCAGTGCCCTTCAACGTTCTTTAGCTAATGCTGGGGCTCTAAGCTTGAGAACGCTGACCTGGCTATTACAGCTTCAATGGCTATTTTAGCTCCGCCCGTTAGAAATCAAAAATGAACGTCTGGATGAATAGAGCCTGTGAAGATTAGTGAGTGTTAGTACACTGGCGAGACACATCATTTCGAGTCTGGCCTGTTTTTAATGAATCTAGCAGTTTTGTGAATGCTTCAAACGTTGATAGACGTTTGTTCCAAACTATTACTTTCCGAAAAAAACAACAACAACACTACTTCACATTTAGTGTTCATGAATATACATGAAGCATCAATGCAATATATTAATTGAATAAATAAACATGATTTAACATAATTTTCTTCAATGGTCCCATTACGTTATTATTATTTTTTTCCTGATAAAATGTATTACCTCAGGATACTAAAGTAATACATAAACCCAAAAAAATCTTTACGCGCGTAAACATTTCATTTGTTAAAAAAAAAACAGTGCCTAATCACAGGCCACCATAAAAAGTCGAAACTAAAATACAAATAATATTGACTTACAAGTTGGAAATGCTTTTTGGTTTATTGTTAAGCGTAAAACTACTCGATGGCCTATCTGTGTTCTGTTCACCGCCGATTTTAGCGTTACAAGTCCTCAGACTTACCGCTAAGCCATTGAAGGGCAGTTGGAAATGCAAAAAATAAAAACACACAGATGTAGGAATTATCAATTCGTACAGTTATGTTACAGTATAGTGAAGCTTGCATAGAATGCGATTGCTAAATCATTTTATTCAGTGCCCTTGTCTATCTTTGACTGATATCCCTACACCAGATTTTCTTTTCTTTTTTTATCGAATTTTCCAATTAATAATTGATATATTCGATTTTTCTAGCATGTACACTATCATTTTAGATCTTGTTTAGAAAATATCTACTATTTTGCAGTAACGTATCATGGAAACGAGGTTCGACTACCCGCAGTGGACACAACGCAGAGGGCCCATTGTACAGTATCGTGCATTAACCCTAAGCAGACAACCATAGAAACGTAACTTCACACTAGTTGACAATGTTATTAGCTGTATTATTCATAATTTCTTTTGACAAAAATTTTACATCACAATGTTTTAGTGTTATTTGTTTGTTTGAATTACAATCTTTATACTAAAAAAATAATAATAACCAACAATAAAAATTCAGTTTTAAACAAACACATGTTTTTTTCAAGTGCTTAACCTCTCCATATTAAATACAGTTAGAGTTGATGTTTGTGGAAGAGGTTTCCATCCGAGATATCAACAGAAGAGAAATGTTGTCACATAACGGTTTTAAGCTAGGGCATGAAAAAAGAGATAACCTAAACCCTTCTTCAGAATTAAGTGGTAAAGGCCAGGTTCCAGTGTGGACATATGTTTTACTATGAGAAAATCATCTGTAAGTTTTGCACATGTAAAATCTCCAATTAGACCAGTTCCTAAGTCCTTTATATTTCCAATCTTGTATCTATTTTGATTTTATTTTTAACTCATTCCACGAATTTTGAAAAAAAAAAAATGGCAATCTTGCATTTAGCTTTAGACCATCAAATGATTTAAATTAACTGTTGCTTTTTGAAAGAGTCCCGAAGGAATTTCAAAATTGGATATCAAGGGTTTTCTAGAGGCTGCCAGGTTTCACAGAATGATTTATCATGAACAACAAATTATTTTAATCCGATTCTGGCCAGAACAAAACCAATATATGGAATAACATGAACATGTTTTGAGTGATTTCTCATGGGCATATATTATTAAATTTCGTAAGATCTCTGTAAACAAGTTAAAGTTTCGACATTTTACTTTGTGGTTTTAATCTATTTACACACACACACATAGTTTTTTTCATCGTCTATACTTGTTTAATACAAGTGAACTATAAGTCTCAGGTGACGTCAAGAATAGTTTTATCTCGAACCACAAAAAGTAACAGATCCCTAACACCAAAGAAGCGGGTTAGACCCTACGATATGAAACTGGAGGAGGGATGGTTCACGTTATGAGTATGATGAAGGAGCGGCAAGCACCTAAAACCTCCACCTTCTCCGGAGGCACCACTAACCCGATATCGATTCCCAGATCATGATCCTTTTTCTTTTTTATCTTTGGTTACTGCCGCTCAAGATAACCTGGTTTTACACGTTGCGGGATCTTTTTGTGTATGGGCTCCGAGTTAGGGCTGATAATCTCAGTTACTACGCACGATTTTCAACTTTTTTTTTATTTCTTCTAAAGAACAAGGGGTTGGTTCCCTCTAAGAAAAAAATCTTCAAATGTAGCGGGTGCTGTTGCAAAAACAAAGTGAACCAACGTTAAGTCTTGAAAACAGTTTTTAAGCCTAACAGTAGTCAGTACACTTCTGTTTGTACGTCAATTCTGCCCATCCATTAGGACGAGGGTAAACCTATCTGTTGCTTTGCTTGTTCAGTGACTGGAACTGTAAGGTAAAGCTAGTTGAACAGCTCATGCTTGATGTACCTTTACATACTGTAATCATCTTGTTGCTAAAAACGTGGTAAACAAACCTTGAGCGTAGATCTACAAAGAAATCACAAACACACAGAGACCATACGTCGGGCTAACGTTCTCGTAAAAAGTACGCGTCATGCCAATTGGTAGAAGATATTTATTAAAGGTCTAGTAAGATAACGAGTAGACAACTATGATAAACAAACATAATAAAATATTTCAATTACCTCTATCACAAAGGCACGAGAAGCACTTAATAGGTTATATAAAAGTAATACATGTTCACACACTACTTTGTATATGTACAAAGAAAAATACTTCTTTACGCAAAAATTTCGTGAGTTAATTATTAAAAGCTCTACACATACAAAATATTTATTTCATATAAAAAATGTAAATATAATTGTAAAATGACTTAAAAGTATCGCGCTTTCGATAGAACTATATGATTCGATAATAACGACCACTGTTAAATTTAAAGTTGAACATTAGCCATAAATGACATTTGAAGTATACCATTAGGGTTACGAAATAATTACGTATAAGGAAAAAAGAAAACTGGGGGGGGGGGGGGGGGCAATGGATCTATGTGTGTGTTGTTTAACCTTTCGAAACTGTATTTAAGAAATATACCGGAGAGGTTGTTAAGCACAAAGTTACACAATGGGTTATATGTAATCTCCCTACCACGTGTATCGAAACCCGATTTTTAGCGTTGTAAGCCTGCACACCTAATTTTCACTGTGACGTTTGTGATGATTGTCAAAGGGGTTTTAAGAGCTCTCAGAACTGAATCCATGGACTTACATAAAACTGACATGGACATTTTCGAATTCTTCATTGTAGGACTTCAAATGAGGACCAAGGGAATTTGGGGGAAATCGAAAATGAAAAACCAAGAACTGTTATTAACATATTTTTTGAGGACACGATGCTTTTTTAATGAATAACTTTTCTATATATAAAAAAGTGTGAATGTGTGTGTGTGTGTGTGTGTGTGTGTATGGGGGGGGGGGGGTTGATTGTTTATTGCAGCCGTAATGCCCCACATTTTTCAACTGCAGACTATAATCTTTAGTGATAAATTATGTCATTAAAAACATACCAAGTAAGACGTGGACGTATTATTTATTTATACAAACTTGTTTTTACTATGACCTTGACCTCAGATCAAAAGGTCGAGTCAGATTAATGGTACATCATGCCTTAATGAACAGAGTAATGCTACAAATTTCTTGATATTCTTCCACCTAGCCTTCTGCATTCCATGGGACCCTTATCCTGTATGACCATCTTTTTCAATGTATTATCTTTGTGCTTTGCAATACGTTCAAAATATTTTACCTTCTTGGTCTTGACTTGTTTAAGAAGATGATACTACATGACCTCCAGGAAACTGAGGCTAAGATTCATTGGACATACGTGTTTTTTTTTTACGACGTTCCGTTTATTCGTTTCATAATTTCGTAGAGAGCTACACAAGAATTATTTGCGCATAGCCTCCTTAATTGTGGACTGATAGACTAGAGGGAAAAGCAGCTAGTCAACAGCACTCCGCCAAATCCTGAGCTACTCTCGCGCGAGTCTTGTCTAATCGAATAGTGGGATTTCACTGTCACTCTTATAGCGGAAATAGATCGGATTCACAGTCCAGGCATAATACCCGTAGGCTACGCTCGGCCCACGATATTCTGCAGAGTCACCTATAGCTTCGCAACTCCAAATTTTCCAGCAACGGACAGTCCACTTTCTTCAATGTCTATGCTTCGGGCCTGTGTGCTGCAATATGCCACCTATGCGCTCTGAGAAGCCTTAGATATATTTATAGTTTGTGTCAATCTCCCAGTACAGGGTATACAGAAATGTGAATACTATTTTAATTTTGCAAACTTAATTGGCGGTCTTCCTGTTTGGGAAGTTATTCACACACACACACACACACACACAATGGAGTTTACACACCATCACAGTTGGGTAGGTGTAATATAATTTTTCTAGGAACTATACCACGTCGAAGGCTGAATGTGACTAAGTGCAGCGTTTTTAAAACGCCCACAAACAACTAAAAAAAGATATTCAGAATTTAGTAAGAAAATAAATATTAGAAAATCATACCTGTATTTCTTGAATTAATTCAGTTTCGTCCAATAATATGATTTTGCAGTGACGAGTCTTCGGCTTTTCTCCGAAACACTTCATAATTTCACTTTCCAAAGTATTTAGCTCTGACAACAAGGTTTCTTTCTAAGTAAACAAAATCTTTAAAAAAAATCCAAAAATAACAGAAATTTTAAGTAAAAAGAAACTGAACTTATCGGCTATTGCACTCTGTGTGGCATGATCTTTCAAATTTTCAGTATTAGCTGACAGTGACACTAACTTTTATACAGAAAAAAGTAGGGTTTATGAAAACAAAATTCTAATATTCCTCTTTTAGCTTCAAATATTCTCCCAGTTTGATTACAAAGTAGCGGATTCAGAAATGAGAATTTCTTGTTTCTTACACTTTCATAACAGTAACCAGGTCAGTAGTGAAATTCAACTTATTGGATATTCGTGTTTGTCCTCTCAACCTCTTGATACCCATGAACGTACCGTCATCACTCTCAACTCATGCCCTGGTAAGTACCGTCAAGTTTTCTGCTTGTATACTATTTAACCGCGAGGCCTAATACTCTACAGGTGGGCCAATCACGCTTGGCACAGAAATGTATTTATCAATGTTACTGTGCCATCTAGTAGCAAAACTGTATACTTTAAGTGAAGGTTTTAATCGGTTGTAAGTAAATTCGTGCTATCATATTCTTTTAAGATAAAACTTCAAAACTATTGCCCATCTCCTATAAACCAGCTAGTCAATTCGTCTGCTAAACGTATTAATCAAAAAGATATATAAATATATATTTTTATTTATTTTTTATACGTAAAAAAGAAACAATAACAAATAAATGAATGACCAGAAAATCTAGTAAAAATTACTTCATTATTTATATACGCATACTCTTCTGAAATATATATACATTCAAAGGTTGTGTATTATGTTTACATTTTTATATTAGGTTAATAAAAAAATTCACACCAAAGTACCCACGTGTTTTAAGTACTAACTTTATGTTACTGATTCGAGATTTTAAGGTAAAAATAAGATTTAAAAATTTATTGATTTTCGTATTCATCTTTTTAACTATTTCCTTATTGGTGGTTTAACTATAGAAGATAACGTGCATTACCACAATGAAAAGATAAATATTTATAAAAAAAATCGTAATCTCTACTAAACATAAAGGTATCATGTAAGTCACGAGGAAACACAACTGAAGAATATTTTCTTTCCTTAATGATACTCCGTGTTGTTCATCTATTTTACATTACAAACATTTATCACACATGCAGGTACAATGTGTATTTAGCGATGTTTATAACCTATGACATATGCAAAGATTGCGATTATTCAGTGCACAATTGGTATTCCCATTCTTTCATCACTTATTTCATCGCTAAGCCACTAATATTAATAAAGTAACTTGAAGAATCCATAAAAATTACATATATTGTTTTTGAAATCAGATTATTATCTCACCTACAAAAGATACACTGTCAAGATAAGATTTTGTTAAGTGATATTTCTCATTAGAACAAGAAAAGCCGTTTGCGTTGGCAAATACAAATAAACAGATAAATGAAATATTTTTGCGGTAAAGAGGCTTACTGCAATGAAAAAGAAAGGAACAAGTGAATTCCCCCTCCACCTCAGAAATTCAAACTGAAGATAATACTCAGAACTTAATTAATCTCGGACAAGATAGTACAATTCCTAGCAATGTATAAATACTATGGAAGCTGTTGTTCTTTTGTTGAATTTCGCTCCAAGTTACTCGAGGGCTAGCTGTCCCTAATTTGAAAATGAAAGACTTGAGAGAAGGCAACCAGTTAATACTTTCCACCGCCCACTCTTGGGCTACTCTAATCGAACAGTGAAATTGACCGTATCATTATAACGCCCCCAAAGCTGATAAAGCGACCAAGTTCGGAGATGTGATTCGAACACACGATCCGCAGATTGCAAGTGGAGCAACTTTACCACCAGGTCACGTCAGGTTTTTTTTTAGTGCAAAGCTACACAATGTGAATATCTACGCTTTCTTCATTACAGGTAACTGAACCCCGGATTTTAATGTTGTAAGTCCGTAATAGAGTCCTGAATATAGCGTTTTAAAAATAATTTTACAAACGAAGGAACATTTGAATGGGTGCTAATTTTTATAGTAATTTGATAAAACTTCATCATCATTTTTACAGATCAAATTGTTCACATTAATTTAAACTTCCCTAACAATACAAATACACATCTATCACTATTTACCCAACCAAA